GGGCCAGGCCGGGGAGGCTGAGCGGCTCCAGCGAGAAGCGGCCCATGCCCGCGGACCCGTCTCCCGCCCTCCGGTGCGCGCGAGGCCGTGTAAGCAGCTCGGGGTCTCCCTGCGAGCGGCGCGGTCGGCGACTCTGCAGCCTGCGGCGGCTTCTTCTCTCGGCGGCGCCCCCTCCTCCAGGGCCAGAGAGGCTGGCCTGCCCGCGGCGCACACAGGAATGCCACTGCGGGTCGCCGAGGCTGAGTCACAAAGTTCCTTGATTAATATTTGACAAATGTTTTGCTTGAAATAAAATTCTAAGTTAAAAGTCAATTTGCCACAGAATTTTGAAAATTCTTTTCCTGGCTCCTACTTTTGCAATTGAGAAGTCTGATGCCATTCTGATTCCTATGGCTTTGTGTGTCACTTTTTTTCCCTGTGGGAACTTTTAGGATACTATCTTTTTTGTTTGTTTGATTGTTTTTCTTTTTTGACAGAGTCTCTCTTTGTTGCCTGGGCTAGAGTGCTGTGGCATCATTATAGCTCACAGCAACCTCAAACTCTTGGGCTCTAATGATCCTCCTGCCTCAGCCTCCCAAGTAGCTGGGACTACAGGCATGAGCCACCATGCCAGCCTCACTCTTGCTTAGGCTGGTCTCAAACTCCTGGCCTCAAACAATCCTCCCACCTCAGCTTCCCAGTGTGCTGGGATTACAGGCGTGAGCCACCTCACCCAGCCTAGATTATTGTCTTTATTCCTAGTATCCTGAAGTTTCACAATTATGAGCCATGGGATAAGTTTCATTCTTAATACGTTTCAATGGGGTTGAGGAGCACTCTCAGTCTGGAGAGTAGTGTCCTTCAATTCTGGAAATTTTTCTTTTATTATTTCTTTGGTAATTTCTTTCCTTTCATTTTCTTTGCTCTGTTTTTGTTTTTGTTTTTGGAACTATTATAGTCAGTTGTTGGATCTCCTGGACTTATCCTCTAATTATCTTTATTCTCCTGTTGATATCTGTATGTGTTTCTTTTCCTTTTTCCAAACAACAGAGATTTATTCTTTCACAGTTCTGGAGACTGGAAGTCTGAAATCAAGGTGTCAGCAGGACCATGCTCCTTCTGAAGGGAGGATCCTTCTTTGCCCCTCCCTTTGTGGTTGCCAGCAATCTTTAGCATTCCTTGCTTACAGATGCATCTCTCCACTCTGCCTCTGTCATCGCATGGCATTCTTGTCTGTGCCAGTGTCTCCTCTTCTCTTCTTACAAAGACAACAGTTACATTTGGGTAAGGGCCCACCCTTATGTCCTCATTTAATTTGATTACATCTGTAAAGATTCCATTTCTTAAAAAAGGTCCCATTCGTGGGTACTAGGGTTTATAACTTAACACATTGACTGCCACAGCAGAAAAAAAAATTTTTTTCCTTGGGGCCACAGTGGCTTATTACAAAAATAGAATAAAAACTTTGAAAACAAAACAATCCTTTCTAATTTAACGGAAGATTTGTTATTTTGTATTATTTTCTGTGAGTGAGTTATATGCAACTTGAAAAATAGTTCAAATGGCTCCCAAGGTAGAGACATATGAGTTACAGATGCTTCACGAAGCCCCAGGCTCAAAACTAGTGTGAGTTAAATACAACTCACATGGCAGTTAATGTGTTAAACATGTCTTTTTGGGGGACATAATTCAACCCACAACAGCTTTCTTCTAAAGTTTTATACTTTGAGCTGATGTATTTAGGTCTTCAATTCATTTTGTAATTATTATATGTGGTATGAGGGAGGAGTCCAACTTCATTTTTTTTTTTTTTTGTATGTAGTTATCCAGTTGTCGCAGCACCATTTGTTGAACAGACTATTCTTTCTTTTTTCTCCATTGAATGGACTTGGCACCTTTGTTGAAAATGAATTGGCTATACATATATGGGTTTATTTCTGGACTCTCAATTTGATTTCACTGGTCTAGATGTCAACCCTTGTGCCAGTACCATAGTGTTTTGATTACTAGTGCTTTGTAGTATGTTTTGAAATCAGAAAGTGTGAATTCTCCAACTTTGTTCTTCTTTTTCAAGATTATGTTAGCTGTTTATGGCCTCTTCCATTTTTATATGAATTTCAGGGTAGGCTTTTCCATGTCTACCAAAAAAGTCATTGGAATTTTGATAGGGACTATACTGAATGTATAGATCAGTTTAGGTAGTAATGCCATCTTAACAATATTGAGTCTTCCAATCCATGAACAAGAGCTGTATTTGCATTTAGTCTTTTTTTTTTTTTTT